CCAACATGGATGCCAGGGCCAGGAAGGCAGAAACACCTTGCACACCGCCTCACCAGCCTTCTGCTGATGGGACCGCAGGCCGGAGCAACCTCACACAAGCACATCAAACAGATAGCCTTGAAAGAAACAAAAACGGATACCGAGGCCAAGCAGGCCAAGACATACTTGTGCATAGGCTCATTTGCCTTTAGCTGATGAGACTGCGGTTGGACTACACCTAAAGAGACCAGACTGGCAGACCAGTCTTAAAACATTAACTGAAAAAAATAGAAGCTGATGATGATTGTTTCGTCGGAATTGCACCGACTCATCAGGAGGCTGAACCCTCGACAATCTGCGGAGTACCGRTTTTGGATGTTTTGGGTCATGAACCCTTTGACCCTTGTTGAAGGCAGATTGCCCACAAGCGGAACATAGCAGCGAGCGGCACCCGTGTGAAGCACCAGGCAACACACCCGAAGCCACTCAACCGCACAACACCGAAGACGACTGCAAGGAACAACACATCAAACGGCGGACGGCAGCAAGAAACAACCCTGCGAAGCACCAGGCAACGCACCAGAAGTCACTCAACTGTAGAACGACACAGACGGTTGCAAGGAACAACACCGCAAGTGGAGGCACAGCACAGCGCCCGTGTAATGAAGCACAAGGCAACAACCACACGACCACCACACTACACGACACACAAGCAAGGAACCCAAAAGGCACGACACATGAATGGACAGCTTGGAAACAGCGCGGCGAAGCACAAGGCAACACGACTACCACAACCAGACTGCACAGCGAACGTAACAGCACACAACGAACAGCACGTGACCCAAGCGGGATAGGCAGCAAGGCAACGGTGACGCGCAGACAGCACAAGGCATAACCTACTCACATCACGGGTGAACACCGCAGACTGTTGGTTCCCACCACCCAATGAGCCAGGGAGTCACTCCGCCGAACATCCGTCATCACCGACAGGCAACAGAGACGCCCCAAACCGAGCGGCCCCCCTAAGAGTGCAGTTGGCACTCCAAACGAGGAACCACCGACTGTTTAGCACTGCTAGGGGGTGCTCGGCTAGAGACAAACGTACTTAGAAAAAACATAGGAAAGAGAAGAACGACAAACATACCGGAAACAGAGACAAACAGACTTTTATAAAATTGATTGATTGTGTGTGTGTGTGTGTGTGTGTGTGTGTGTGTGTGTGTGTGTGTGTGTGTGTGTGTGTGAGAGAGAGAGAGAGAGAGAGAGAGAGCGAGAGAGCGAGAGAGAGAGGTGACAATGGGACGAGGCACAAAAACACCACCAGTGGGCTAGCAAAATGAACTTGGTCAAGCAATGGTCATTGTTGGATGGAAAAAAGAAAAAGAGTGTTACGGAACTTATGGTAACTGTGTAACGCATACTCGTCATTAAAAAAATAAAAAAGCATTCCCAGCTTTGCAGTCAAGTACTCCAAATAAACATTTAACTCAATAGTCATCCATAAAAATAAGATTCTCAAACTCCTCCAGGCAATTACCCCAGCCTCTAGGCTACCAGCCGGGCCGCCCGGGTCACCCTGTTTTCCCACGCAACCCGGCCGTGCAAGGACCAGGGAAGGCGCCAGCGAAAAACAAAAATCCTAAAAATCCTAAAACAAAACCGATGTTATGCAGAAAAATAAACTGAACAACGTTTGCCTCAGGGTCACATCGAAATTCTTTACCAAATTTAAAACAAAAATCAAATTATTATTATTATTTTTTAATGTTTTGCCCGGCCGGGCAAGTGGTCCCGGGCCACTCTGGTAGTCTATTTAAAAAAAAAAAAAAAAAAAAAAAAAAGGAAGAGAGACTCTCTCTATCAACAACAACGGCAGCAGCAGTAATTACGATAACGATAACTGTAATTGAGATGCCACATAAGTGACAGGGGCACAGCGACATATCAGCCACCACCTTGGCCAATGCTTCAAAATAGGAAACTCCTATAAATAGTATAAAATCCATAAACCATAGAACAACAAAATAAGGAAATCCCAGAGGAGAAGGCACACATAAAATGAAATATTTTAATCCTGCCTCTCTAGAGAATTCATCATTTTTTTTTTAATGCTGCAAAAAAGTATGCACTAACATAAAAACATAAACTTTCACTTCATCACATCACCTCATCTTATTCCCTTTTGTCTCATGATGTCTCTCATCACCCATCAGTGATTTACTGAGGCAATGAATAGTCGGGTCCGACCCAAAGGAATGCAAAGATTGACTTCTTTGCTGAGCTCCATTCTCAGAGGTGGTCCAATTGTCCCACATTCCCAGAGGTGCTCCCATTGTCCCACATTCCCAGAGAAGGCCCAATTCCCAATTGTACCGCATTCCATGTTGCAGACTGTAGATTATTAAACCACCAGTACTTGGCCCAGCTATCGATGCCGAGCCTGAATATGCCCTGTGCGCCATTTCGCGCCTACCCGCCAGCGAAACAAAAAAAAAAATGTTTTGGCTGGCAGCGTCAGCCTTTCAGGTCCGGTACCCCGGGCCTCCGAAACTTGCGGGACGTTAACGACAACGCCCCGCGGCCGACATATGGGCCAAGTACCTGGTGGTTTAAGACCACAGCTCTAAGACGAAGAATCGCATTCTGAAGATCAATGCTCCAAAGCAAAGAGTCGGTCTTCTGTGGATGTTATGTTGCCTCTGCTGCCCCTACGTCAAGAACGGGATCGTTCTATAGAATCTATACCCTTGTCACCTCAGCTTCTATCATAGTCGCAGCATCCAAAAATCTTCTAGAGCTCTTTGAGACAGCTTGAGAATCATCTGTGCAGAACGTAGCGTCGTCATAACCTCTGTATTTGGGACAACTTTCAAACTAGATACATAGAAACCTTCTGGAACTAAAACAACACCCCTCCTTGTTTAGCATGCTTTCTCGACAACTTCACAAGAAAGGTCAGCCTGGATAGAAATCCGAAATCTGAAACGACACACAATGCCGTTCGGGGAATTATCCGTTGAGATGGTCATCACACTCTCTGTGTATTTGGGGCTTCAGTCTAGATACAAAGATAATGACCATCCAATGGCATTCCCATTCTATTCAAGGGGAGACGGAAGTATGCTTGGCGATTGGAAAAGCAGGTAAATGCATGGCGATTGGAAAAGCAGGTAAATGCATGGCCTAACAGCGCACTAGTTGCAATTCAAGAAGCCGGACAGCAGCTGCGCCGTCGGGGGGGCTTTAAAGCACCAGTACACCACGTATCGGCCCACGCGTGTCAGCATGAAACCCTCACCACTTCGGAGGCCGCCGATTGTTTTTTTCCAACGGCAGGCCTGGCTGCGCGGCGCCTCCGAGTTTTGCTTGTGGCGACAAAAACTTTCTGCAAGGCTGGGGTCGTGTACTAGCGATTTAAATGAATACATATTACATTCAAATAAGCGGTTCGGAGAATACAACGAGAGTATGGCCAGCCAGCATAGAAGTCTTCTTCCTCAGAATAGAAATCTGAAACAACAGCTTCCATAATCTTCTCCTCGAAAATAAAGTGCTCCTCATTGTCGTCAAAAGATACTATATCGTACCCCAAAATGACGACTTCTCAGCTGGCAAAAAGGATAACCGCAAGAATTGCGGTTCTATTTTCAATATTTATTGATAAGAGTTTATGATTAATGAGAGTGCGCCCTGCATCATCGACCGATGATGTCCGATGTCGACTAATGGTAGTCTCATCGGTCTTGAAAGAACTCATTCGATGGCGCACACACACGCATCATCTCCTGCACCAGCCACAACCTGTCAGCATCTCCTTCCTTCACGAACGTCCTGTTCTGCTGCTCCGGGTTTCTCCACCTTCACTGTACACACCCTTTTTCAATCATTGGCGTCACTGAGTTCTGCGTGCTTGGCAACGCGCATCGTCGTTGCTGATGCTATAGCATGCATGTTTGTGTGTGCCGTTAACGCACAACTGTGTCAAATTATGTTCTTTTGCATAACGCACCTGATGCAACGCGATCCCTTGAGTGCATTTCTTCTGAGTGTGGCAGCCTCACCTCGTTCGTGGTCATTCTGGCTCCCCTCCTCTCAATTTCCTAAGCTTCTCCGGTCCTTACTCTCATCTCCCTCGTCTCTTCGTCTCTAAACCCTTGTAATTCATCTTCTCATCCGCATCTCCGCGCAAATTTCTTTCAACTGTAGCACTCGCACGCTTCCTCTCCACCGCCCCCTGTGCCTTCCTGTATCTCAGTCCTTTTCTCTCCCCTCTCCTTCCCTCCATGTTCCCCCCTCTACCATATCCCCGTCCTCGTTTGACAGGTGGACATTCTGTGTATTATATTCTCCTTAGGAAGAGAGGAAGTTACTACCAGACTCAATTTTCAGGTCACAAAGGGCTTTCGGCCGTAGAATGGGGCATAAGTACCAAGAGGGTGGTAGTGCTCTCGGACCTCTATCTCGCTTTCTCCCTTTCTCCAGATCTCTCCTTCACCCCTTCCTCTTCTGTTTGCTGGCTGGTCCCTGACACATCTCCTCCTCCTCTCTCCCCCTCTGCATCACAATAACACCAACAGGGTGGTAGTGCTCTTGCACCTCTATCCCGCTTTCTCCCTTTCTCCAGATCTCTCATTCACCCCTTCCTTTTCTGTTTGCTGGGTGTTCACTGACACATCTCCTCCTCCTCTCTCCCCCTCTGCATCACAATAACACTCTCCCTCTTCCTCTCCTTGCTTCCTAGCATACTCATACATTATACATAAACATGTATATGTATAGCATTGTTGTATACATATGTACATAAACATGTACACGTATAGCATTGTTGTATACATATGTACATAAACATGTATACGTATAGCATTGTTGTATACATATGTACATAAACATGTATACGTATAGCATTGCATACATATGTACATGTGGATATGCGCTTGCACCCACGCATGTTGTTTGCTATAGAGGTAAAGCCGTTTCAATTCTGCAGTTGCTCATCTCCGTGTGCTTCATTGTTTGCTATAGAGGTAAAGCTGTTTTGATTTTTGATCTGCTCATCGGGGTGGAAAAAGGGGCTGTTGGGGTGATACATTACAGCACACGTGCACCCGTAGATAAGGGAGAAACTTGTCCTCCCTCTTCTTCACTTGAGGCCATGTCTATTGCAAGCCATGGACATGGAGAAGCAGGCAATGATCATGACGTCAGGCAGGGCATACTCACAAGACAGGACTTATTTGATCAGATACCCAGTAAATGCGCACAGATGACTTTCCAAGAACGAGCATAACCGTTGATATTGTGTATGCGTAGAGATCAAAATGATCAAATCTCCTCAGGTGAGCAGCTTCACAAGTACAGCTACCATTCCGACTATCACCACGGCGTATAGAAAGTTAGTGGTAGACGGTTGAGGGAAGTTGATAGCTGCAGCAGTGAATCTGGAGGACGATGTCGCTGCAGGACTGGAGCGGCCCGTGGTGGTGGGAGAGTACATGGTCGCTTTCTGGCCCTGTGTTGGCGTTGAAGCCTTCTCCGTCCATCCGTCTGACAATTGAGGATTGTCGTCGAGCCGCATACCTTCAGGGGGATCGAACTTGCAGCCCAAGTTGCTAAGCTTCACATGCGCCTCAGCGTAGTCCCGGAAAAACGCATCCTGATCCTCGGCATACTTCTCTGCATAAACCTTGAACCCTTCATCTTGAAACAGCACAGCGTCGGTGGGCAAGACCAGCAGATGCTCGTCGGTTTTGTCCCTTACTTCCTTGTAGTAGCTGTTGTCAAATTTGAGCCAGTCTTTGGTCCAGGATTGACCGCCTGGTGCACCTGGTCCATCCTTGGTGTAGGGTGTATGGATCTTGCCAAACCCACTGCGTTCCGGTCGAGCTCGGCCTAGCGTGTGCGCTCCAGAGAGTGCTACGATGTCCTTGTCGGTAAAGCCCATTCTGTAGAACACACTTCGGAGATGCGCAGCCGGGTCAGGAGGATTAGCCATGGGTAAGACGTTGTCGGGAGCGCAGAACTCTTCGGATGGAGCGTCAATACGACCATACCTCATGGGGAGCGTCGGCCCTCCTGCCATCTCGATTCCAGTAGCACCTGCGAGCTGCAGCAGATCCGCATTACTAATTGCAGGGTACTTCACTCTGATGGGATCAAGCAGCTTGAACGCGTTCAGCAAGCCTGCGTTGCACTCATGACTCAGCTGGGTTTTGAATCGAAGGGTACCGTTCGCGCCCCCTGCACATGGCCACCCTGCAAGGTTCTGGTTGTAAGTTCCTGCGTCATGCCATGCCAGTCGAACAAAAATAGGGTTGCAATTCTTCGCCTTTATCAGAGCCCTCATGTCTTCCTGTGCACCCCTCAGTTGCTCGAGTACCACCTGGGGAGGCCACCTGGGAGGCACCGAACTACTTTGTCCCCCTGCCGAGCTCCGCTTCCCTCCTACCTTGGAGGCCCGCGACCCTGTTCGCGAGCCCATGCTATCCAGTGACACCACCCGTCGCCCTATGGTGTTGGAACTAGAATAGTCAAATACGCACAGTTTAGTGATATGCAGCTAGTTATCGGGCACGGCGGGCATGCATGGTCCAGATACTCGGGTTACTCGAGGGAGTCCGCTGGTAGGCCGGGAGGATTTGCAGACATTGGCCGGGGAGAAAAAAAAAAAAAAAAAAAAAAAAAAAAAAAAAAAAAAAAAAGACTACTCCAGGTCAAGAAGAGCCTGCTAAGTCAAAGGGAGGGAGAGACAGAAGCCATATAGACCTCGTTCAACGTCATACTCTAGAACTTCAAGAGGTCACCTATCTGGCAGCCAAGTTGGATGAGAGGAGCATATCAAAGGCATGTCCATCGCAAACTCGAGGACAGCAAGCAGTGAATCATGAAGGACAGGGGTGGAGCAGTGGTAAATCCTTTCTTTATGGGAAGCAATCAATGCCACTATCTCAGGATCTCTCGGCCATAACGGAGTAGATGCGTGGTGTGGATCTATCTTCGGATGGGACACTGGACCCAGTTTCCAGCTCATAACATATATTTTCTGTTCAAGAAAAATGCAAAGAAAAACAGTCTGACTGTCTTATGGTAATCACAAGCAAAGTAGCATGCTATGCACATAGCATAGTACATACTATATTACTTAGCATAATTGCATTAACACTACTTAGCAGGGTGAACAGCCTTAAGTACCTGGCAACAGGGCAGTTCCGTGATAAACTTAACCTAAATAGCATCTCAAGTACATAGACATAGCATGGCATATACTAATCACTGCTTAGCATAGTAATTATTACACGACTCAGCAGTAAGC